CACTCACTCACTCACACACACACACACACACACACACACACACAATAAATATTTTGTTTCCCAAAAAAATCTGTATCCAAATATCATGTAACCCGATTATCACACACATCAATTCAAACAATCTAAAACACTTTTACACAAATGAAAAAAAATGACAAAATGAAAGTAATAAAGCATTATTATTGTTAACAACTTGAAACCATTCAAAAAATGCATTACTTGAAACCAGTGATTATTTATATTTAATTATTTATAAGCTATTATAGTTTTTATTAATATTTTGAATTAGTTTTTATCCTTATAATTTCAGTATGTGATTTTGTCAGTTTTTTTTATTTGTATATTACTATTAAGGTTTAATTTATTTTTATTTTTTTACACTTTCCAGTTCGTAAACTCAAACTTATTTCAGTCGTGTGTGTGTGAGTGACAGAGTATGTGTGTGTGTGTGTGTGTGTGTGTGTGGACACCTGAAGAAGGCAATTACAGCGGCACGACACGAGCAGCACGAGAGTAACAGGATCATTAGCTCTGTGTTCATTACTGCAGTAATGCAGCTCTGCTCAGATCCAGTTACACTAACACACACCTGAGACACCAAACAGCATCATTTTACTGTCTGAAGAGTTTCAATTTCATCAATAGCATCTTTAACGTTTTTAAAACAATCATCTAAAAATGTTTGCTTAGTATTTCTTCAAATTATAAACAGGTTTTATACATTTTTATCAAATGGTTTTATAAATTCAATCTTAAATTTAAAAGTATTGGGTATTTTGTTTGCAAATCATTTTGAGAATGCTCGTTTCTCCATGAACTATAATTAACTAATAATATCTTAAACCGACACGAACTAATCAACTGAAATGCAACCAACAATCCACTGCTGAAATGAACACAAATTAAAAGCACATTTTGGGGGTGGATGGATAAATAAATAAATAAATAAATAAAACTGGAAAACTAAATAAAAATCTTGAATCAGACTAAAACTGATAATTAAAACAGTCATAACTACAGGCAATGCCAATATGGTCACTGATATATTTCCAAATCTAATTCTTGTGTTACGAATTAAAATAAAAATTTGCAAAACAAAATAGCGATTAATAAAACAGTACTAATTATGACTAATACCAATATGGTCACCAATATATTTCCACAAATAATTATTGGAAAATAGTAATAAATTAAAATAGAAATAAAGAAAATTTGAAAACAAAATAACACTAATCTTCAATAAAAAAAAAAAGTTCTCTCCTTTTTTTTTTTTTTAAAGCAAACATGGACAACAAAATAAAAATGTAGAATCAGACTGATGTTGATAATTAAAACAGTGCTAATTATGGCTGAAACCAATATGGAGAGTTTGGGGTCAGTGTGTTTGTTATTTTGGGACGGAGAGCTCCGTCTGTAACTGAAGAACATGATCTGTGAGCCGAGGTGTGACACACAGGTGTCAGGTGAACTTCAGTCTTCACACCTGTCTCACCTGCACCTGATCTCCAGCCAGCTGCCCAGATTCTGAGCACATTATACTGCAGCACCACATACACTCTTCACATAAAAGCAATCCCATCAGGCATCAGTGGAAATATCCATTCAATGCGCCTAATGTTGACAAATGTTGATTGTAACAAATCAATTCAATACTGTAATTGACCAATAAAAATAGTTCAAATTCTATTCAAACTGTATTGATGAATGAATGAATGAATGAATGAATGATGAAAATATATGATATATTTATTTTTAAGCATATTTTAAATTTTATAAAGTGTGTTACTTTGTAAAGAACAATGGAAACTATGGAAATGCTTGTTTCTGCATATGGAATATTATAAAGAAGTGAAAAAAATAATTATAAACAATTGTATAAATTAAAAAATTCTAAGCAATTTTAAAAGAATTTAAAAAGGTTCATATATACATATATATGCATGTAGCATCCTATCCTTCCTTTAAATATACACATGCATGTGTGTGTATTTATGTATACATAATAAATATACACAGTACACACACATATATTATGTAAACAAAAACTTTTATTTTGGATGCGATTAATCGTTTGACAGCACTAATATATATATATATATTTATCTCTTTATTTCAAAGATTGTAAAATGCATAGCTAATATTAAGTTGAAAATGTTTATTTTGTTCAAAAAAAGTATGAAACATTTACTTTTGTTTATAAAAATGCTTGTTTCTGTATATTGACCATTAAAAAAGTGAAACAAAATTACTTTACAAACACAATTATAAACTACATTTTTAAAATGTCTTTCAAAAAATGTAGTTTTTAAAGAAAAATAATCGTAATTTTTTAAAATATATAAATATTATGCATATTTTACAAACTTTTAAGTATGATTAAAATGATGTATTATGTAAAATTATGTATTTTTCATATTAAAAGTTTGTGAAATACATGGTCAATATTAAGTTAAAAACACTCTTATTTTGTTTGTAAAAATCATGGAAATACTTTTTATATATTACCTAATAATTAATAAAAGTAAACTTGAAAAAAAAAAAAAAAACTTAAACGCAAGTAACAATTCACTGCTAAAACTAAATAAAACTTAGTTAACTATATTACCTAATAATTAATAAAAGTAAACTTGAAAAATAAAAATAAAAACTTAAACGCAAGTAACAATTCACTGCTAAAACTAAATAAAAGTTAGTTAAAAATAACATCTTAAAAGGACATATTATTGTAAGTATAAAAACTATTTAAAAAAACAAAATGATAAAAAACATATAAATATATATAAAAAATAAAATTGGTATTTTTTCTTAAATTGATATTTTTTCTCCCCTCGCAGAAGGGAACAGCACTAGTGTATCTGTGAGTCTGCGTTTCCCAAAAGCATTGGTTTCAATGGGGCTATGATGTAGTTCAGTCTTACTGTTTATAGGCCGGGGCGACCCAGTACGGGTTCTCAGCGGCTTCTTTGGCGTGACGCAGGATGGCCTCTCGCGGGTTGCTGTCGTCGGTTTTGTCCAGGGCGATGTTTTTGACGATGAAGGAGGACAGTGTCCCGCCGTGGGCCGCCACACGACCGCCTCGACCTGCGCCGGGACAGAAGCAGAGATCAGAGCAGAATCACACACAAATCACCTCCAGCATTCAGAGGCAGCGTTGGGGAAAGTTACTTTTAGAAGTAATGCGTTACAATATTGCGTTACTCCCTAAAAAAGTAACTAATTAAGTTACTTAGTTACTTTTTATGGAAAGTAATGTGTTACGTCACTTTTGAGTTACTTTTTAAATCTGGGCAGTCCGAAAATTGACCCTTATGACTGGTTTTGTGGTCCAGGGTCACATATAATAAAATTCAGAGGCAGCGTTGGGGAAAGTTACTTTTAAAAGTAATGCATTACAATCAGTGTTGGGCAGTAACGCATTACTTAGTAACGTGTTACTGTAATTTAATTACTTTTTTAGTAACTAGATTAATTAGAATTAGAATCAGTAATTTGATTACATTTTCAGAGTAACTTGCCCAACACTGGTTACAATATTGCGTTACTCCCTAAAAAAGTAACTAATTACAATACTTAGTTACTTTTTATGTAAAGTAATGCGTTGCGTTACTATTTAAATCTGGGCAGGGCTTGCTTGCTTGTTTTTAATATAAAAAAGATCCTCTTTTACAAATGTAAAAGCCCTTTCACACCAAAAGTGAAGTGAATGCGCCTCAGGCTGAAGGAAATGTAAATTCACGTCTGTACAGTAGAGGGCGCCGCTTAAACTAATCACATGAAGAATATGACGCAGGAGAAGTAAGTTCAACACTATTGAGCAATAACACAAATCAAACACAAATGTGTCAGTTTTGCTTAGTATGATTGTATTATTAAATGAGCCGTTCCATTTCAGTTTATTTACTGTGAGGTTTGTGATTTTTGGTACTGAAACTTGGGATGTGTCAATACAATTTAAAAATGTATTTGTACTTTTCTATAAATAAACATTAATAATTTATGTATTAATTATTAATTTATTAGTTAATAATAATGTATTAATTTATTTATATAGTTGATACATTTTATATTCATAATTATAACATCATAAATTTATTATATTATAAATATATATTCATATTTTTTACAAATATAAAAAAATACAAAGACTATATATAAATGAATTTATTATTATTTATAAATTAATATACAAAGTGAATTAATCTATATTAATATAAAATTATATTTTATATTATATTTGTGGAAACTGTGACATTTTATATTCATAATAATATTTAGATATTATAAATATATATTAATATTTATTATTTATATAAAAATAAAAATTTATATAAATACTGTGTATAAATGAATACACATTGAACAAATTCATTGATTTATTAATTAATTAATATTAATGTAGCATATTTTATATTTGTGGAAACTGAGATACAGTTTATAATGATATTATA